TGTGTGTGTGAGAGTGTAAGAGTGAGTGAGAGAGTGTGTGTGTGTGTGAAAGTGTGTGAGAGTGTGTGTGTGTATGTGTGTGTGTGAGAGAGTGTGTGTGAGAGAGTGTGAGTGTGTGTGAGAAAATGTGTGTGTGAGAGTGTAAGAGTGAGTGAGAGAGTGTGAGAGTGTGTGTGAGTGAGTGTGTGTGTGAAAGTGTTTGTGTGAGAGTGTGTGTGTGAAAGTGTGTGTGAGAGTGTGAGAGAGTGAGTGTGAGAGAGTGTGAGAGTGTGAGAGTGTGTGTGAGAGAGTGAGTGTGTGTGTATGAGTGTGTGAAAGTGTGTGTGTGAGAGTGTGAGTGTGAGAGTGAGTGTGTGTGAGTGTGTGTGTGTATGTGAGTGTGTGAAAGTATGTGTGAGTATGTGTGTGAGTGTGTGTGTGAAAGTGTGTGTGAGAGAGTGTGTGAGTGAGTGTGAGTGTGTGTGAGTGTGTGAGTATGAGTGTGTGTGTGAAAGTGTGTGTGAGAGAGTGTGAGAGTGTGAGTGTGTGTGTGAGTGTGTGTGCATGTGAGTGTGTGAGAGTGTGAGTGTGTGTGTGTGTATGTGAGAGTGTGTGTGAGTATGTGTGTGAGTGTGTGTGTGTATGTGAGTGTGTGAAAGTATGTGTGTGAGTGTGTGAGTGTGTGTGTGTGTATGTGAGAGTATGTGTGTATGTGTGTGAGTGTGTGAGAGTGTGAGAGAGTGAGTGTGTGAGTGTATGTGAGAGTGTGTGTGAGTATGTGTGTGAGTGTGTGAGAGTGAGTGTGTGAGAGAGAGTGTGAGAGAGTGTGAGTGTGTGTGTGAGTGTGTGTGTATGTGTATTGTGAGTACCAGCCACTGACAAAGCTCCAGGGACACAGCAGTAAACAGACAGCTGAAGTCCAGAATTCAGGGAACTATGTCGGTCAAATGCTCTTTGAAGGGACCCAATAGCCAAATCCCTGCTCTGCCCACCTTGTGGCCTCCTCTGGCATGGGCTCCACGCCAGACGGCCACCACTCCGCTGGGAGTGGGACCTGAGCCAGTTCCTGGACCTTCCTGGGCTCAGCTTGCCCAGCTGTGAAATGGGGCTGCACAGGATGGAAGGGGTGGATGTGTTGCTGGATGTGGAAGTTTAGAGTATCGTGTGCACGTGGTGAGTGTTCAGAGAGGGTGTTTCCTCTGTGTTCTCTCCCCACGCCCTTTGACCCAGGCATACAGAATGGCTGCTGCCGAGTGACGTGCCAAGACCTCTCTGGGCCTGGCTGGCGTGGCTACACCCCCCGAGGTCCTCCCTCCTAGAGCCTGCCTGTTTAGGACCCATCGCCCTCGGCTCCTCCCCGAAAGCCCCACCTCCTGGTTTTACATTCATATCTGGTTCTACTCCATCTGACTCCCAGCTCTTATCACCGTGTAACCTTAGCCCAGTTACACAGCTGCCCTGTGACTCAGGGTCCTCAGCTGTGAAATGGGCTGATAGTAAACCCCCTCCCGAGATATTGTGCCGAAGGAAGGAGTCCAAGCAGGTAAGGCCCTCACCTGTCCTATGTCAGGTGCCCAGGAGTGTCCGCAGCCGAGGCTGGACAGTGGGCGGGGCCTTACTTTCTAAGGGTGGACATCTCGCTTCCTGCCCTCTGCTTCCAGGCACTGAGCCTGCTACAGACAAGATGCTGGTGATCACATGGAGGGGGAAACAGAGGATGGAACACAGCCTGCCCTCTATATTCAGGGGTTCCACCTCCGTGGGCTCAACCAACCACAGATTGGAAACATCCCCCCAAAGTTACAGTGCCGCTGATGTGTACATCCTAGTCACCTGAATGATGGTTATGTCTGTACTAAACACTACGGCCTTTCAGTCTTGTCATTATTCCCTAAATAACACAGTATAACAACTATTTACACCACATGGACACTGTATTAGGTACGGTAAGTAAACTGGAGATGATTTAAAGCATACAGGAGGGTGAGGGAAGGTTATATGCAAACACTACGCCATCCTATATAATAAAAGACTAAACGGCAGAATGACCGGCCGCTATGATGTGCACTGACCACCAGGGGGCAGACGCTCAACGCAGGAGCTGCCCCCTGGTGGTCAGTGAGCTCCCACAGCAGGAGGACCACTCAGCCAGAAGCCTGGTTCATGGCTGGCGAGTACAGTAGCGGTGGCAGCGCTAAGGATGTTCAACTGCCAGCTTACAGGGAGAGGGCCAAAGTCATCAGTCAGACACCCCCCGAGGGCTCCGTGACTGTGTTCGAGAGGGTGCAGGCCAGGCTGAGGGACCACCCCCCAAGTGCACGAATTTCATGCACCAGGCCTCTAGTTTCATATAAAGGACTGGAGCATCCACAGATGTGGGTGTCGGAGGGAGTCCTAAACAAATCCCTGAGGATACTCAGGGACGACTGTCTTTTTCTGCAGTAAGAGCAGCTTGAACTGATTCATTGATGGAACAGAATCACACTGCAGACAGAACACTGTTCTCCATCGCTGTCCGTAAACTCACCCTCTGGGTCTCAGCTCAGATGCCACGCCTCCTAACCCCCCACCCGTGCTGGGCACCTTCTCTCCCTGGGCCTCCCTGGCTCCCCCGACCACCACTCCTGCTTGTCTGAACCATCAGAGGGGGGAGGAGGACAGGGGGAGCCATCTCCCAGAGCCCCCACCCCTGATGTCCCCCTGTGCCCACCACCCTTTACTACCGTCCTCAGGGGCAGAGGGTACCTGCTGTGGCGACAGGGAAGGAAAAAAGGGCCACCGCCCAGCAAGGTCTCCTTACATGAGCAGTCATACCGCCAGAAGGTGCTGTCGGCCGCAGGACACTGGCCACAGGGCTGGAGCACCAATGGCCAAAGTCACCAGGATGGGATGCCAAGCCCCGTGGCCTCGGGGCAGGCAGTAACAGGCACGCACTGCCACCCACACTGTGACCCGAGCCCTCTGTGGGGGGATGGAGGCCCACGTCTCTGTTTACCTGCTTTCTCCTCCCACCTGGCTTCCCGCTCCTCGGCCAGGCCCCCATGGGGAGTCCCGGGGGGCTGGGGCCCCATGTCAGGGGCGCTGAACCGAGCTCCTCCCGGGAGTCCATGCTCCGCTTCCCGCAGTGCCCAGGGCATCTCCGAGGGCCAGGAGGCAGAGTCCATGGGAGGGGCGGCCGGGCCGGAAGTGTGGCAATTCTCTCTTGTTTGAACAGGAAATGGGCAGTGATTTTTTTTCCCTGATCCCAAATCAAAACCGCAACTGGAGCAACAAGGGAAACCTGTCTTCTCAAGGATCACCCCTGGGTGTGGGTTTTCCTTTTTAAGGAGGTCAGAGCAGGGAGGGAGGGACCAGCATAAAGCCCGGGCGGCTCCCTCAGGCAGGGGTGGGAACGTCCGCCCGCAGGCGCCAAAGGCCCGAGAAATCACTTGGTCCGGCTCTGCCAAGGCGTTAGGGGTGGGCGAATGAAGTGTTTGGCAAATAGAGCAGGCTAATGTCTAAGTGGATACTTTTGTATGGCCTGGCCGGCGAATGCCGTTTTAAATATCCAAGTGGCCTTTGGCAGGAAAAAGGTTCCCCACCCCTGCCTTGAGGGTTGGGACGGATGGACTTCGCAGTAGAAGCCTGGTGGGGAGCCAAGCCTGACTCCAGCCCCTTTTTTCCTCTTTCAATGCGATTGGCACGTATGAAACACACTGCCAATCGCCACTTTGCTGCTGTGCGTCCTCAGGCAAGTCGCTTTGCTTCTCTGAGCTACCATGTTTCCAAGTGCCAAAGGGGAGACCGCTCCTGCCCTGACTGTCCTGCAGAGTTATTCAGGGGCTCGGAGAGAAACCACGAAGCCCATGCCCAGATGGGCATGGCTGCCTGCAGCTCTGGACCTGCAGGAAGCAAAGAATCGGCCATGGGGTCATTACCCACCCTGCTCACTCAGCATGGGCTGCGGAGGTGCCTCTCTCGTGCCCGCCCCCTCAGGGGCTCAGGGGCAGCGTTCCGGCGACCAGACCCCTCATGCCCACGAGGACGGGGTGAGAGTTAATTTGCCTTGTGATCAACCTGCCCCAAGTCAGAGAAGCACCTTTAAACCCTGTTCAGGACAGGCCGCCTTGGCCCTGTGCTCCCAGAGGCAGAGCAGATGCTGAGGCCACAGGCGTATTTGGGGGACAAAGAACCCCCAGAGGCCAGGGCAGCCTCAAGCCCACAGACAAGAAGCCGGCAGACTGGGCTAAATGGAAAGCGCATATTGAGATCAGACGTGGAGCCCTGCAGACGCACTGGGAGCGTGCCGTGTCACACGCATGTGCGAACGTCCAGCCCATGACGCACAACATGGGGAAGTAGCCGCTCAGTGGGGAACCAGGATTCCAGAGAGACAAGCCAGCCCTCACCGCCAGGCTAGCGATTCCCTGAGCATGTGAAACAGTGCAATGGCCATTCTGCATATTAATCCTGCAAGGAGACTCGGGCACTCGGGGAGAAGCAGCTCTTCTGGAATTGATTTGCAGCCCGCCCTGCCCCCTCCACACACCCTCTCCCCCATCTAGTGGAGCTGTGGTCCAGAGCAGGATGCTGACATAGACACTCGCAGCTATAACATGTAATACAATGGCTGAGAATTCCCCGTGGAGACACAGAGGAAGTACTGAGCCAGCCTGGGGCTGAATCATGGAAGACTTCCTGGAAGAGGTGGCTCCTGGACCACTAAACCTGGGGAGTATGCTGGCCAAGAAGGGTGTGGTGTGGTAGGGCACTGAGCCCAGGCCCAGGGTATTAGGGGAAGGGAAATAGTCGGGTGTGACTGGGGCCTACGGAGGGAGGCAAGCACTTCATACCAGTGCCTGCACAGGGGAGCCGTGATTCAACCCAATACAAGCCCTGAGAAAAGCGTACGGTGTCCACCCGGAGGGAGTGTCTATAGCAGGACTCTGGATGGCCCGGGCAGTGGCCCTCCCCTTCACACCTGCGAGGTGAGGATAATGGCGTCTGGCCTGCCCAGTTCACACTTCCCTGGCTGTCTGGCCAATATGCGTGTTGCTCTTTGTCCTGCTAAGTAAAGGTTTCATATAAGTGTAGACATTTTCTCCTCTGAGTCCTGGTAGCTCCCACACCCATCACAGGAGACCAGGCACACACGGGTGGAGGTATGAGACCGGCTCCACCTTGAACTGGCTACATAGCCTTGGACAAGTGGCCTCAGCCCTCGCCGAGCCTCGCTTCATCGCCTGTGAAATCTGGGTGGCGATGCCTTCACCCTAGTGTGGCCGGGAGAAGCGAATGAGAGAACCCCGTGTGTGAAGGTCCAGCACAGAGAGGGTGCTGACCGGCTCCTGGTTTTTGCATCTGGTTTGGAGAGAGGGCTCAGGGAGTCCTGAGGAGGGGGAGAGAGGCTTTCTAAGTGCTGAGGACTTCCTGGAGGAGGGGGCGGTGACCTGGGCCTGTGGTGGGTGGGGGACCGGTTACAGTGTATCCTGAAGGACGATGCCATCATCCCTCTCCACGTCAATGTCCCCTTGATCTAGAGAAATGACATCTGGAATGGAGATACCTCCCCCCTCCAAATCCGGAAGGTCACCTGCAGATAGGATTTTTATCAACCGCAGTACAAGCCACCTGAGGCCCGTGCCTCACCGCATACACTTACGGTACTTCCCACATCACCCTGCGTGCAGCCTCTGTCCCCTGGCCTGACCCCCCGTAGCCTGCATGTGCCCGGGGCGGGAGGGGCAAGGAGGGACAGCCCCGGAGGCCCCGGGCGCTCCGGTAAGAGGTAAGGGAGCCAGGACTGACCGATTTCTTTTCCTCCAAATCGCTTTCTTTGTTAGCGGCCGGGTCCTTGTCACTGAGCTTCATGGCTTCTTTCTCAGGTTTGGGACTGGGCTTTTTTTGTTCCTGAGGAAGAAGAAAAAGGAAGCAGCCATTAGACTCCTGCTGCCAGTGATAGGTAACTCAGGGGAGTCGGCGAGGAGCGCTGGTGGAGACACCCGCACGGGGACCCCTGCTCCTGGGAGCCCCCTGCTCCTCTCTGGCCTCAGTTTCTCCATTTGTGAGATGGTTGGATTGACTACGTCTGTGTCTGGAATGCTGGCTGGATGGCTTTTAAATACAGGCCTCTCCCAGATCATTCTCGTCCACACGGTCATTCTCGCACTGGGCACATCTTGTGAGCACTAGACTTCCTGTCCCCAAGATGTGAAAATAAAAGCCGGGGAAGTTAAAACGAAGTGGTCCCTCCCCTGTTCAACTGGAAACAGTTACCCAAACTGCCACCTGGATCCCTGGCACGACAGAGCTAAGGAATGGTGCAGCTGCTCTGGAGATTGGAAATGTTTAGGCCCTTCGGCCCAACTACTCCATTTGTAGAAACTCATCCTGAAACAGTAAACAATGTGCACCAAGATTTCAGCCAGAAATGGCATTGAAACATTTTTTTTTTTCATGTTAGAAAAAATGGCATTCACAATAGGAAAAAGATATGGAAGAGGGAAGTTTAAATAAATGACGGTACCTCCCCAGGATAAAAATGCACGGAGCACTTTAAACCTGACGTTAGAGAACGTTACTGTCCTGAGGAAATACTCAGGATTACTCTCACTTGACAAGAAGGGGAAGATCAATGAAAGAATGTACATTAGTCAACATTAAAAATAGATGTACTTCCTAATAGCCATTCTTTTTAAAACATATATTTTATTGATTTCAGAGAAGAAGGGAGAGGGAGAAAGAAAGAAACATCAACGATGAGAGAGAAACAGGGATCAGCTGCCTCCTGCACACCCCCTGCTGGGGATGGAGCCCACAACTGGGCATGTGTCCTGACCAGGAATCGAACCGTGTCCTCCTGGTTCATACATTGATGCTCAACCACTGAACCACACTGGCCGGGCTGAATAGCCACTCCTAAAACAACATCCGTACTTAAACTATGCCCATGCGATTTTTAAATGCCAAATTAAATTTAAAACAAAATATTTATTCATTCAGTTATTTAACAAATATTTACTAAGCCCCTAGCATCCAGGAGATGGGGATGCAGTCTCGAGAAGGCAGCCCTTGCCCTGCCTGCATGGAGCTTACATGCTCGGAGAGACTGGTAGGAAGGGATGCAGATGGCTCACGGCAAGGAGATGGCTCACGGGCACACAGACGGCTCACGGGCACGCAAACAGCTCACGGCAAGCAGATGGCTCACAGGCACACAGGTGTGAGCGGCACGTCCCAGGCGGGGTCCTGCCTGGGCTACAGACCAGCAGAGGACAGGTCACAGCTGTACGTGCTCAGAAAATAAACGTCCTTGAAGCAGCTGTTCCCACTTGGCCGTGATAGTTTAGCCAATTATCCTCTTAGGCAGGGGTCCTCAAACTTTTTAAACAGGGGGCCAGTTCACTGTCCCTCAGACCGTTGGAGGGCCAGACTATAGTTTAAAAAAAAAACTATGAACAAATTCCTATACACACTGCACATATCTTATTTTGAAGTAAAAAAACAAAACGGGAACAAATACAATATTTGTATTTGCATGTGGCCCGCGGGCCGTAGTTTGAGGACCCCTGCTCTTAGGTATTCGTTTTTCTACAGTTTTCCAGTTTTCTACACTGGGGAAAAACAAAACAAAAACACCCACCTCTACAACTAGAAAAATGAGTTTTTACATTTTCTTTAAATTAAAAAAAATTTTTTTTGAAGAATTAAGCCCTTATGTTCTCAAGTAGCCAAAAGGATTTAAAAGGTAAAATTCTGCAAGAATACCGCTCTTACAGAATCAGGAGCTCCGAGGCCCAGCGTCAGCTCTGGCCTGGCGGGAACGTGGCTGGGGGAGCTGCTGTCGAGGACCTTCAAGGCCCTCCCCTGCGAAACGCCACCTGCTTCATGCCAGCACCCCCCAGGGACACTCAGCTCAGCACCCCCCAGGGACACTGAGCTCAGCACCCCCCAGGGACACTCAGCTCAGCACCCCTCAGGGACACTCAGCTCAGCACCCCCCAGGGACACTCAGCTCAGCACCCCTCAGGGACACTCAGCTCAGCACCCCCCCAGGGACAACACTGAGCTCACCCCCCAGGGACACTCAGCTCAGCACCCCCCAGGGACACTCAGCTCAGCACCCCTCAGGGACACTCAGCTCAGCACCCCCCAGGGATACTCAGCTCAGCACCCCCCAGGGACACTCAGCTCGCTGGACTGCCCTCCTTGCCCCCTCGGTGCTTCTCCAGCTGCCCTGTGGCCAGAGTCCTGTCCTCCTTCCCCGTCTCACCTGCATGGCTCCTGGCTTCGCTCCGCCCTGCCCCTCTGGTGCATCTGAGTCGCTTCCTCCCGGCCTCCCCTAGCCTGTCCCATGAGCCCCCAGAGCCGGGCCGACCTGCTGACTGCTCTCCTGTGTCCCCAGTGCCTGGGACGCGTCCTGGTCCTGGTGGTTCTCTGGAGGGGTCACCTTGGCCAGCTGTGCCTGTGGTTGGGCACCTGGAGAGCAGGCAAGCTGTTGCTGGGTTTTTAGAAATGAGGATGTTCACTTTAAGTAAACCGGGTGACCCTCCGTGATACTGTGGGCGCCTCCTCCCATCGCCTGGAGGCCCCAGGTGAAAACACAGAGGTGCACTGAAGAGGAAGGAATTTGGCCTTGAGACAACAACATAGAAATTCTGTCTGTGATTCCCATGTGAAAATGGCAGCATCAGCATCTTGGAATTTCTATGCTGGCTTACGAATCGGCTTGGGGCTTGCCAGCACCCACAATTAAGCGAGCCAATTCCTTAAAATGCCAAACTCTCTCTCTCCTTCTATCTCTGTCTATACACATCACTATATCTAACATACAGACACATAGACCTTGCTCCCTGGGCCACCCTGACCGATATACTCCTCACACTGGGTCACAGCTGATTACCTCTCTGTCCACAGAGTCTGACACAGTGCCTGGCCCCAGAGGCGCCTGGGAAACAGAATGGGTGGGGTGCCAGAGAGGGGAAGGGAGAACTCAGACTGGGGTCAGATGGATGGCCTGCGGCAAATGAGCCAGAACGAGGGCATCCATGGCCCGGCCCGCCCGCCTCTAGGCCTGCATTCCCATTCAGCTTAAGTGAATGAAAGGCTGTCACCATGGAGCTCCAGGGAGTGCCATTCGCACAGGTGACACTAAATGTCCCCCTGGAGTCATGCCACGCCGTGGCCCTGCAGGAACATGAGGTCTGTTTCCTTATCAACCGATCAAGGTAGTCATCATTCTCTCCCATTAGGTGAGGCCTCGTTTAGAAAACAGGCCTGGAGGGACGCCCAGCCAGTCCTCGCTGTCTAATTACTGACAGCGATCGCTCACTGGGCTGGAGACCGGGTAGTAAGAGATGTGGCCGGGGCTGAGTATTTGTGAGGCACCAGGTGCAAGCAGCGCTCGGGCAGCAGGAGTAAGAGTGGTGCTGGGAGGAATCCGGGGTAGTGGACAGCGTGGGAGGATGGGTCAGGTCACCAGGGAGAGCGGAGAAAGAGAGGGGCCCTACAGAGCCCCAACCTGGAAGGAGCAGGTGGGGGTTGGAAATGGCTCAGGAGGCCGAGCTGGAGGAGACAGGGAGGGGGGGGGGGGTTAGAAACGAGGAGATAGTATCCAAACGACATAAAGAACCCACAGAACGGAGCCCGAGATGGGAGGTGTGCCCCGGCCCCGTGGGGAGAGGCTTGCGTTCTTCCCAGAAAACACGGGAACGAGCCGGGCACCGGGAAGGTGTGTGGGCGGTGGGTGGTGCTTCCTTCGGGGTCCCGCCGCTTCCCATCTATTCCCAGGCCAGCGGGGAAAGGACGGGGTTTGCGAAGTCAGTGAGGACCCACTGCCCAGGGGAGCCGTGGGCAGCAGGGCTCTGACACCCCCTATAGCGACCCTCACAGAGCTGAGCATGACCAGGCACAGAGAGCTTGTGCCCCAGGCAGCATAGAGCCGGGGCTTCAAATCCTGGGCCTACTGCTCACTCGCTGTGTGACTTGGAGGAAGTTACTTAACCTCTCTGGACCTGTTTCTCTAGGGCAGTGGTTCTCAACCTTCTGGCCCTTTCAATACAGTTCCTCATGTTGTGACCCAACCATAAAATTATTTTCGTTGCTACTTCATCCCTATAATGTTGCTACTGCTATGAATCGTAATGTAAATATCTGATATGCAGGATGGTCTTAGGCGACCCCTGTGAAAGGGTCGTTCGACCGCCAAAGGGGTCTCGACCCACAGGTTGAGAACCGCTGCTCTAAGGCAGCGGTTCTCAACCTTGGCTGCACATTAGAATCCCCTGGGAATCTTTTTAAAATCCTGATTTCTGGGCCTCATCCTCCGGAAATTCTGTTTCTTTGTTAGGGGGTGAGGCCACAACATTAGTAACAAAGAAACAGAATTTCCGGGGGATGAGGCCCAGAAATCAGCATTTTAAAAATATTCCCAGGTGATTCTAATGTGCAGCCAAGGTTGAGAACCACTGCTCTAAGGTTTCAACAGAATAATAAATAAGTAACATAGCCTGACAAAGTAAATACAAGCTCGGAACGAGGTTCTGAAAACGCGAGTTTCCTGTCCTTTTGATCCACAGTAACAATGCCAACATGGCTGCTTTTCAGCTCCAATCCTACGCCAGAGCCTGGCGGTGTGGCCGGGCCCGCTCTGAGGGCACAGGGCTGTCGTACTCACCATTGGGTACCCACGGCCCGGCCCCTGGGTGCCCGCCTGCCACCACGATCCAGCAGCTCCATAGAGCAGACCTTGCTCCCGGCGATCTGATGGGCGCCACCCAGGGGTTAAATACTTAGGAAACTACCTCCGTTACTCCTATTGCCGCTTCTCCCAATAATGAAGCCCTCATGGGCACCATGTGTGTCTGACACGTGGCCTGTCCTGTTCGAAATAAAGCGAGTGAGCCCAGCTGGTGGGGCTCAGGGATTGAGCATTGACCCGTGCACCAGGAGGTCACTGGTTCGATTCCCAGTACAGACACATGCCCCAGTTGTGGGCTCGATCCCCAGGGCGGGGCATGCAGGAGGCAGCCATTATTTCTATCTCCCTCTCCATTCCCCTCTCTCTGAAAATCAATCAAAACATTTCAAAAAAAAAAAAAAGAAAAAAAAGAAAAGAAAAAAGAAATAAAGCAAGTGAGCCTCGAAGTGTCTTCACCCACCGACCTGTCACAGAGCTCGGATCTGAATCCCGACGGCTTGAAGTCCGACCCTCACGTACTAGCTTGTGTTATGTAAAAGGACCAAGGCAGAGAACGGGCCCTGACGCGTCAATACCCCGCAGAAGGTTGCGACATCAGCGGGCCTTGTTCTCCCAAACCTGGCACATGCCAGTGGTGGCCACTTCCCTGCAGGGCCGGGTGCCACTGCCCTGAGCAAAGCCCAGGTTCCAAAGCCGCGGGCGGACACCCCTGAACAGGAAACGCCGTACATACCCTGGTCCCCGAGCGCTCTGTCTGAGTAACACTTGCTGGGGCTTGACTCTTCATTTTCAGGATTAATTCTCTGCTGATTTGGCATGGAGCTATAGCTGATCCCAAGACGAGCTAACGGAAAGGAATGTGGAAAACAGAGCGAGAGAGAGAGAGAGAGAGAGAGAGAGAGAAAGAGAGAGAGAGAGAAGGAAGGAAGGGAGCAGGGAGGTTACAGCCTGGGCCACCAGCCGTGGGAAGAATAGCCGGTATTGCTCATGGCCAATGTCATTGTTACATTCGCATCTGCCGGACACCACGCTAGGCACTTCATGTGCTTTCCTCAACTCCGACTTCACCGCATTGATTTCCAAATCCCTCCATTTTCAAGCCCCTCCTTTCACTGTTCGTAGGGGTCCCAGTCCCCTCTGAAACCATCCCCCAAGCCGATCCAGGAATGCGAGGGAGCGTAGCTTACCTGTCCCCGAGCTTCGCTGGCCTGTCCCAGTCTAAAGAGCAAACTGATAGACCGGCTCCCGGTGAAATCAGATATAAACCTGGGAAACTGTGAAAGACAACAGCGTTAATGATTACATGGCATCCAGCGCTCCTGTTGCTGTAAACAGGCCACGAGGCCTATCTTGACGAGCGATAAATGATTAACACACATGCGCAGGTTCGGGTCAGCCAGTTCTGGACCCGGAGCTGACGGCAGAGGTGTCCTGGCTGCTTAAGCCCCTGCCGGCTAACGGGTTGACCTTCCCGGGTGCCGGGTCCCTTCTTGCTGATGTGAAGCTGTGACCGGCGTAGGACCAACATGCCGGGCTGTGGGGAGGGTCAGGTGAGATGACATGCAGGACACAAATGAATGCAGGCTGGTCGAGCCCTCAACCCAAAGGACCAGGAGGGGTTAACGTCTCCTCTGTGGGTGCAGGAGGACGGTCAGCCGTGGAGAAAACACGAGAGCCATCACTCCTGTCGAAAGTGATGCGCACGAGCTAAGCCTTCAGGACCCTGTGGGACAGAGGGCTGGAGGGGGACACGGTGGAAGGGACCCAAGAGTGCACCTGTGCAGCCGGTGCCAGTCCAGGCTCAGCCAAGGCACCTGCCCAGAGGGAGGTGGGGGTGTGGGGAGTGGGGCACAGAAAGATGGGTGCCCGGGAGTCCCCCCAGCACGGGAGAGGGATGCTGGGAGACAGGGCTGTGTGGGGAACATGGAAAAGGCCATCCGATCCCCCGGGCATCGACTGAGAGCCTCCGGACAGCCTTTCCCTGCCTAATCTCGTGTCCCAGCGCCTTCGTGTTGACCAAGCGGTGGGCCTGGTGAACCGGGAGAAGCCACCTGGGCCCTGGGAGACATCTGCCCGCGATGCCCTTATCAACCCGCCTCTGAGGGCTGACAAGCCGCACACCAGCGAGGTGGCATTCGTGTGCCCGGGGATGTCAGCTGTGCTGGAGGCAATGCAAACGCACCCAGACGGAGGTGCCCTGGGCAAGGAAGGGCCTTGCTCTCCAATCTTCTCAAGCCTCCCACATGCCCGGCTGGTGCCCACCCTCCTGTGCCCATGCAGCCGCCGAGCCTGGCCTCTCCGACCTCACCTTGCTCGGCCTGCCTCGTTCCCATAGCCTTTAGGGCACTTGCTTCTGCTTAGCTGCTTATCCTTGAACGCAGACATAACAAGCATTGGAGGAAGTCTGCTTATGTTTTACAAAAAAAAACAAAACAAAAACAGAACAAAACAAAACACAGCTCCTTGCTCGGAATCGCCTCCCCTGGGGCGAGAAGGAAGTGTGTACCAAAATAACGAGTGTTTGTCCAAGGTTTACAGGAACACGGAGACCAAATCCACAGCAACTGGAATCTGTTGCCCGAGAACAAAGTTCGCCTCCCGGCCCTTGCTGGCTCCTCGGTGCCTGAGATCCTCAGTCCCCTCCTGACCTCAGTCCCTCCCGCGTCCCCTCCCCTTGACATAAAGAAAGCCCGAATTCTGCGCTTTCATTAGTGGTTCTTTGGGAGGCTCATCCACCATCCTCACAGTTCGCTGGATTTCCGAATTTCCTCCCCAACATTTGTCACGCGCCTTACTGGCCGTGGTGCGGCAAGCGGCACAAACTTGAACTTGGTTGCATTTTCAGGAGCAGTAAATCGCTCTCTGACGCCAGGATTGTTCAACCGCTGGTTCTGCAGCATCCGGATAGACAGTGTCAGAGGGTGACAAGGAGCCTGAGGTCCAATGTCAGACCTCAGCGCTGGCCCTCCGCTCCCCAGCCACCTCACACCAGACACGTGCGCTCTATGAAGTAGGGGAGGACTCGTCTCAAGGTCATGTGCAGATTGAATGAGATGCTGCCTGTGGCAATGCCTGTCCTGTCGCAAGCACCGAGTAAATATTCCCCTTTGCTATTATTATTATTGAGAAATCCCTTTTTTTTAAAAAAAATTCTCACCTGAGGATATTTTTTTCCATTGATTTTTTGGAAAGAGTGGAAGAGAGAGGGAAAGAGAGAAATATTGATGTGAGAGAAACACATTGATTGGTTGCTTCCTGCACGGCCCTGACCAGGGCCCAGGCTGGGGAGAAGCCTGCAACTGAGGTACATGCCCTTGACCGGAATTGAACCTGGGACCCTTCAGTCCGCAGGCTGATTGGTGCTCTTCCCGCTGAGCCAAACCGGTTAGGGCGGGAAATCTCTTTTTTGATCATTATTTTTATTCTTGGATCTTTTTTCTTTTTCCAATATTTACGGAGCACCTACTATGTGGCCATCGTACTGCTAGATACTGAGAAGGGTACACCTGTTACTTCTATTGGGTAATTCAGAGTCTGGGCAGAAGAATGAGCCAAGGTAAGGGGACTACGTTCAATAAGCACCTGCTATCTGCCAGGTGCTGGTTGTAAGTAGCCTTACTTACTGCAAAAGGCAGATCCTGATGTTTTATTTCCACGATATGGCTGAGCACAGCTGGGTTCTGGAAGTCAGCCCACTTGCCCGAAGCAGAACGGCTTGTGAATGAGAACTGAGGTTTCAAGTAAGACCACCCATGCCCGGCCGATGTGGCTCAGTGGCTGAGGGTCGACCCATGAACCAAGGGGTCACGGGTTCAATTCCCAGTCAGGCACATGCCCAGGCTGCTGGCTCCACCAGGTAGAGGGTGTGCAGGAGGCAAGTGATCAATGATTATCTCTCATCATTGATATTTCTATCTCTCTTTCCCTCTTCCTTCCTCTCTGAAATCAATAAAAATATATTTAAAAAAAATAAAATAAGACCACCCACTCTGCTGGCCTGACCGGGATCACTGTGGGAGAGCTCCTCCCAGAGAACACGGCCACCAGGAGCCTCAGGGCCTAGAGTTCAGAGAATCTCCCTTTTGCTCTTGGCAGCCCAGCATCCAGACTGCCCACTTTGGAGGCCCCCCACGCCTGGGTTTCGTGGGCTCATCCTTCCCACCTTCTCTCGAATTTCTCTCCAGCAACTGTCCTATTTCTCTGCAGCAGCATCCATTTCTCCATCTCTGTTCCAGGCTAGGAACACAAATGTCTTAATATCACCAATAAAAACAAACTAACCCAAAAAGTGAGGATGTGGAGAAATGGGAGCCCTTGGACGTTGCTGGTGGGATGTAACTGGGTTAGCTGCTGTGGAAAGGAGCTGGGTGGTGTCTGAACAATTAGACACAGGATCCCCATGTGGTCCAGCCACTCCAATCCCAGGTGCACACCCAGACCTGCTGACAGGTGTTCAAGACAAACACGTGTGCACGAATGCTCACAGCAGCTCTGTTCACAGAAGCCAAGAGGCGGGGACAGGCCAGATGCCCGTTGGCTAAGGAGAGGATGAGCGGTTGTGGTTTATCCACACAAAGGAATGACGATCTGATACATGCGACAACGTGGAAGGACCTTGAGACCATTGTGCTAAGAGAAAGGAGCCTGACACAGAAGGTCACCTGTTTCATCATTCCCTGTCAGTGCAGTGCTCAGGTGAAACGACAGAGGCAGGAAGCAGCTGAGTGGTGGCCAGGGGCTGGGGGCGGGTGCGAAGGGGAGCAGCTATTTAATGGGGAGGGGTTGGCTTTGGGGGATGGTGAGAATGTTGGGGAACTAGACAGGTGTGGCTGCATGGCACTGTGAAAGCGCTTGGTGCCACTGAACTGTTCACTTTAAAATGGTTCATTAGCGTGGCTTGGTGGTTGAGCGTCAACCTATGAACCAGGAGGTCGAAGGTTCAATTCTGGGTTGTAGGCTTGATCCCCAGTAGAGGGGGGCGTGCAGGAGGCACCCAATCAATGATTCTCTCTCATCATTGATGTTTCTATCTCTCTTTCCCTCTCTCTTCCTCTCTGACATCAATAAAAATATATTTTAAAAAATAAAATGGTTAATTAACAAATCAAATACAATGGTTAGTTTGATAGTAAGGGAGTTTCACCTCATTTTAAAAACAACAAAACTTCTGCTGGCCCCAGGCCTCCTGTGGTCACCTGCTTCCCATGCTCTCTGCTGCAGCAGAATCTCCCAAAGAGAACCCACTGTCTCCGCTCTCTCCTCAGCTGCCGCCCAGAGGGGCGTTGACCCACCACACCACTCACGTTGCGTTTCTGAGGACACCCAGGATCCATGGTCAGTAGTCAAGTCCTATCACCTCCCTGCGGCTTGGATGAAGCTGACCACTCCTCCTCCGCTGGGTCCTCCTAGAAACGTCCTTTGCAGCCACTACACTGGCCCGGTCTTCCCTCCGCCTCCCTGGCCACCCCTTCTTAGTCCATTCAGCTGCTCCCCTCGCCTACCAGACCTCGTGGTGGAGGGTCCCAGGACACAGCCCGAAGCCCCCACTTCTGTTCTACCCACACTCTTTCCATGAGTGACTCATCCAGATGGGTAGTAGCCTTAAAGCCAATGATATGCTGCTGACCCCCAATTCTGTCCCTCTGGCTCAGACCTCTCCTCCAGGTCCAGATGCATATGTCCACCCTCCAGTCAGTGCCCCCATGTGGCTAAGCAGCGTCTTGAACATAGCAGGTCCTAAACTACACTTCCGATGTCCATGTTCCAGCCCCTCCAGCCCCCCAAGTATCAAAGACGCTTTCCTTCCTCCAGACTCCCTCCTAGTGCCTGTCCAAATCATCAAAACTCTCGTCGCTTCTGCTCTCAGTGCTATCCGGGGCAGATGACATCCTCTGTCACCTGGGAGACTGCCTGCCATGGCCTCCCGACAGCTGTCCCTGCTCACCCCCCGCCCCCCAGATGGTTCCATCCAGCGGCATCTCGAGTGACTTCCTACAGCAAAAACCAGGCCAGGTGACCCACCCTGCTTAAGGCCTCCGTGGCTTTCCTAGAGTCAGACCCCTCGGCCCGGATTCAGACCGTTCTCCCGTGCATCAGTGTGGTTTAGCGGGACGGACGGGGCTTTGGCCCCAATGTGACTCAGCTTCCATCCCTGACTGCCACCAACCAGTGTGTGACCTTGAGCAACTCCGTTGACCTCAGCTTCCTTACCCGTGTCACAAGCATGGCAATATGTCCCTGCGGGAGGAGGAATGATAACGTGTGGACATAACACCAACACCTGGCAGAGACTCGTGA